TCCTTTGCTGTTCGACATCCGCACGCTTCGATACGTTGTTGTTTAATGAATGATCCCATACCTGAGTACTCTGTAGTCTATCTATCTGCAGCAGTTGTTGTCCGCAATTATCATTAAGATGTGTGAGGCTGCTGGCAGATAGATCATAATGATGTTCAGTTTGGAGCTTGTGCCCAATGCACATTGGGTGCTCTATTTGGCGCCACTCAACACAAAACACACACGATCTCTCTCTGAGAAGAGAACGGAAAAAACCCCCCAATCATAAATAAACAACATATGTTGGTGCTCTTCTTCTCTTTGGGAGAAGGGTTAATGCAAGAGAGCAATCATTCGTTTGTTTACGTTATTTGAAAGAGGAGAGCGCATATTTTTTTGGAGGGAAAATACCAACATATAAACAAGGAAATGAAAGAAAACATTTCTTCTTTTAGAATTTGTGAATTTTTAAACGGAAACAGAAGTTATTTTTGGCTAATAAAGGAGTGTGGAAGGAGATTATTATTTAGCAATTGTAAGAGGATAATAGATAATATATTAAAGGCCTGCATAGTGGCAGCACTTTGTCATTTGTATGTATGTGGAATTGGAGGAATGTTATGGGCTGAAAGAACTTAGTATTGGAGTTTGTTTGTAAAAATGGTGGATATTCTATTCCTGCAATCTAAAATTGTTGGCAAACTAGTAGCAATTTTATGGGAATTCGAGATGTGATCAAAGAAGACATCCGACCCATGGGAAACTCGATTTAATTCGTTTTATTAATAGGAATGCGAAATGAAGACTTTCACGTAAAATGGGGTATAAATGGACTTTAAACTTGTATGTGAGTGTGTGTGTGTAGTTAAGTAGGTAACGCATATAGTAAATATTTCAATTCATTTAAAGGAAATAAAGACGTTCATCTGATTTTTCCTTCATGATATTAACAAAAAATTTAAAGCTAGTAGATTCTTGCAGCTACTGAAAAATATCATGTATTTTGTGTGAGTATTATAAAATATTAATTTATTTGAATTTCAGATTTCATTGTAAATATTTTATCTTTGCCGTCTGGACTCATCCCAGAATCTATGAATTGGCAGTGGAAGTCAACCGATTGGTACAGGAGCATAAGAGGAAAAATTGGCTAGACCATCTGAACTGTTGCAGCATTGGAAGCGATAAGAGTAAGCTGTGGGTAACTACTAAATCGTTCTCGAACTCTGGGAAAAAGGATAATAGAACCTGAGTCATCTTCAAATAGATCATTTGCCATTTTGGCTTAACGAAACTAGAAAATACAACACTGTCTTCAGCTACCATTGCCAACCGTGTTGTATTTTCCCTGTGATTTCGCAATTATCGAAGCATTTGGAAGATTGTTTTTGAAAAAATCACTTTGGTGAGTTTTCTTCGAGTCCTTTTGGTGACCAAAAAATGATTAACTGACTTGTATGATCGAAAAACGACTCGAAAATGACTCTCTTTAATGAGTGAAAAGAGATCAATTTAATATACAACAACAAAATGTAGGGGAATCGCAAATCAATCATTGAGATGTGCAAAATGTGACCATTTTCCGTTGTTTATTATCGTATTGCGATCATCTAGAGATTGAAAAATGATTAGTCTTAAAAAGATCTTGCAGCTGTTTGAAAAGTGATCAAAATTATATATTTTTTGATCATATTTTGCACAGATAGGTGCATAAATGCTGCTTGTTTTGTTATGCAAGGGCCGTTCTGTTTCTGGACTGACTATCAAAAAGTTGAATTACTGTTCATTTATAAAAAGTGCCTGGAGGCGTCAAAAGCAAAAGTGTATAATATTGAAAAGTAAAAAAATATGAAAAAGTGTACGTTTATCTCTTTGTTTATTTATTAATTTTTATAAAGGAAATGTCAGCAAGTTAAATTACAAAAATAAAAAAGGCTAAAATAAAAACGATGGCAAAAAAGAGGCAGAAAATTTAATTTTGCAAAAAAAAAAGTAGAACTGAATATGAAAAAAAAATGAAGAAAAGTCCAGAAACGTGAATTAGTGAAGCAAAATGAGACAGAACTTGATTTGTAAGTTAGAAAATTGGGTATTTGATTGATTAATTCACTACTTTATAAGCTATTAATACTTATATAATTTTTGATAATCTATTTCCAGAAAGAGTTTATTGCAAAAACCGAAAGGTTTTTTCAGATAAATTAGCCTGCCAATACAGCTGGAAGGGGACAGGGTAAATCTGAGTGCATTTTATTATTTTATTTAGTTACAGTAATCAAAAGTGAGTTTGTCTTTTTAACACATATAAAGAATTAGTAAAATGGACAGACTTGTACATATTTTATTTCAGATATATGTCATCTCAAATACTCAAGCAACGACAAGGATATGAACACAATCCTACAAAAACATTTTGTTCACGTTAGAGACCGCGTTACAAATAGAAAACGGCCCGATTGCAGTTCCTGATTTTTTGATTTTTTTAAATGATTTTTTTTTTCTTACTTATTTTTTTACAATCGCATTTATTGATATTACAGTACAAATTATATTCATAAAAGATGGATTATTTTTATTTTAAATAAATTTTTATATGAACATATATAATTAAATTCTTTTTTTTACGGTACATCCGAATATTTAGAAATCACGTACGTGATTCGTAGAATCGTAAACACTCATATAAGACTCATAAATGACTCGAATTTAAGACAAAGGGGACTCATAAAAGACTCCTAAATGAGTATACATATGAGTGATATATGACACTTAAAAGACTAATAAATTACCCACTTAAGACTCATAAATGATCAAAAAATGACTAAAAAAAGACTCGAAAAAGATTCACAAATTAAGCGTCTTAGCGCAATAAATGATTAGAAAACGACTCGAAGAAGACTCGTAGAACGATCAGAAAATGTTCGAAAAAGACTCTTAACTAATCTAGAGGAAGACTCATATGTGATTTATTTAGAAGAGCCGCGTGAAGTCACGTTTTTCTCCCGACAACTGAGTCTTTTATGATCAGAAAATGCGCTCATATTCCAGCTTTTTAATCGCGCTCGTTTCCGAAGCCTAGAAAATGCCCAGGGTGGTCACACCGTTGAAGCCAGACAAGAATGCCAGCAAAAGCGATTCATACAGGCCAATTTCGCTTTTGTCGCCAGTAGCAAAGACTCTTGAGGCTTTACACCTCTCCAGCATCAGAGTGAGCTATATGCACGCCATATCCACACATACCAGAGGAGGATCAAAACAGAACATATCGTGTGATAGCAAATTGCTGGTTTGAGAATGTTGAGAGAACTGCTCCCCAGCCGAGTTGTGTGGACGCAGTCGTACATGGAATTCCAGAGTATGAATTCCAAAACCCGTAGAGTAAAACAGAGATTCTCCCAAAGTGGGGTGATATCTCCGGAAATGTTTAACCTCTACCTTTCCGGAATTCCTTGCCCTCTAGACGACATAGAAATCGTAACGTATGCGGATGATTGTACGGTCATTGGGCCTCATTGTTGATGACATTTGTGTAAGGTTGAATGTCTATCTCGCAGAGCTTGCCGACTACTTCCACGCGGGAAATATAAACATATGCTTCGCTAAATCAATAGCCACAATATTTACCACATGGTCTGCGGAGATGAGAACAAAGCTGAATGTGCAGGCGAGGGAAATATAATTTTGATTACGAGCTACCTCTAGATCATAGGGATCACATTCGACAGCATTTTCAAACCACAGCGACCTGCGACAAAATGAAAAATATGAACAAGGTCCTCAAAGCGCCAACCTGCAGCACTTGGAGTGCGGACAAGGGGACCTTGTTGACCTTTAATAACGCGATATGTCGGTCTGTGGTCAGCTATTCAGCCGCAGTATGGTCTACGAATACAAGTACTGAGCAGTGGAAGAACATGCAGACCTGCCAGAATGTTGCACTGAGAACTACGACAGGATACCTACTCATGACACCAGTGTGAACCATCTATGGTTATGCACGTCAGCATAACCAAATGCTTTCGTTACAGTACCTGTTTTTGTGTTATTGTGGGAGTTATCCAAACCATGAAATAGTGGGAAGAGCTTATCAAAAGGACCCACACACTCTAGAGGGGAAGTCCCAGACCCAGAGTAGTATTCATACGAATGCTGTCACTGATTTTATTAACCAATACAGTACGAATGTCGTCCTTGGGGTCCACTTCCAATTACTTCAGCTCAAAAATCTCAACCTATTGCGGCAGCTGGAGTTACATGAAGAACCAGATTAAGATAATTCAATGTCAGGCAAGCAACAAAAAAAAACTTTGTCTTTATTTATATTTTTGTTTTTTTTTTTTTAACCACAATTAATGACCTACAAACATATTTTCAAATATGTAGGAAACAAGAAAGCAACCTAAGAAAATACCGTAGGCAAAAAAGGTTGCACTTTTAAGTGTAATAAATAAAGCATACTTTCAGGCGATGAAAAAATAGCCAACTCATTATCCATAATTTAACAGGTAATCTATTGGAATCTCTTTCCGAATTCAAAATTGGAAATGTTTTAGTAGTCTTTGATGTTCAACAGATATTACTTCGCCAAAACGTACATTCAACTACAATTTCAATAAAAGGCTAAAACGTGCGAAATGGGTCCCATCACATGCCTTTTGTATATTTTGTTTAGATATGTATTTCCTAAGTTTTCCGAGTTTGCACTAATTGGTCTGTACCAGAATTGCAAGAATGTAAAAGTTTTTACTACGATAACCGATTTGCCCTTTGTGATATCGAATAGCAAAACTAGTAGATCCTTGCAGGAACTGGAACAGAGTATGTAAGTATTCCTCATTGGCATCTGTAGATTTCTTCTTTATCAAGCCGTTCTTTTATAAGATTCCAGCTATTACAGATAAATTATCAATCTATCCACATAATTAAAAATATATATATATATTTATAGAAATTGTTTTAATTTGTGTGTTTGTGGTATATATCGTCATTGTATATTTATACATTTTATTAAAACTACAATATTTCATTGTAAAAATGTATAATTTTTTTGTACATAGTGTAAAAATGTATGTAGATATAAGGCAAAAATTGGTGTGTTTTCATTTTGGATTACCAAAACAACAATGGACGGAATGTAACATTAGTCTCATTAATAATTTAAAAAAATTGATATATATTGAAATGGAGTGTATAACTTAAAATCTATAAACTACTTTATGCGTCTTTGTTGGTCATCATGTTGTTTTTTGGACGAAAATGCATATTTTGTTAATGGGAATTAACTAATAAATATCTAAGTGAAGCTTTCGTTGATTCTATGGCATCAAAAGTTCAATATTGGGATTTTGTATTTCCAAAAATATTTGATACTGCGAAAAGACACAAAGCCAACAATAGAACTGAAAAGAAGGAATGTGAATATTAATTTTCAGGGAATTAAAATTATGGAGTGATATACTTACATTGTAGGACATCCAAACAAACAGCAAGAGGGCAGAAAATGTTTGCTCCAACTAAAAAGGAAAGAAACGTTTGGTTATTACTTTCCTAAGTAACCATTTACATGTATTATAGCTTACATAAATATAATAGCCGCCAATGAGCCACAAACCAAAGACCAGCTGGAATAATATGCCAACACCAACTAGGATCAACCAAGGCAATAGCCATCCTCTTGTGCTGGAAAGGTAGAAATTTAAGTGTTATTAAAACTTAACATTATAATACATAAGTTATTGTAAATATCGTCTTATATTTTTTGGACCATCTACGAACACCTCATTCAGGCCCTCTACAGTCCTTTTACAATCTCTTCCGGTCCTTGTAATGACGTGTCTATGAAGACTCACTTCTAACCTACTTCCTTCTGTCCATAAAGAAGCTCATTATGTCGAAAATAATGGATCCTTCAGATCGTCTACTATCGATACAATATCTTAGTCACTTCTAAAGACCTGTCTATGATGACAACTTCCTAAACCGACACCATTCGGATAGTGTATAAAGGACTCACGCAGCTCCTTCAAAAAAAATTGATTCTGTTTATCTGTCAACACACCTGCCATTGATTAACTTTTGTGACATTCTAGAAAGACCACCTTCAGTTGATCTAAAAAGACCACCTTCAGCTGGTCTAGAAATGCTATCTAGAAAGACCACTTTCAGCTGGTCTAGAAAGACCATCTTCAGCTGGTCCAGAAAGACCACCATCAGCTGGTCCAGAAAGACCACCTTCAGCTGGTCCAGAAACACCATCTTCAGCTGGTCTAGAAAGACCATCTTCAGCTGGTCTACAAAGACCACCTTCAGCTGGCCTAGAAGACCACCTTCAGCTGGCCTAGAAGACCACCTTCAGCTGGCCTAGAAAGACAACCTTCAGCTGGCCTAGAAAGACCACCTTCAGCTGGCCTAGAAAGACCACCTTCAGCTGCCCTAGAAAGACCACTTTCAGCTGACCCAGAAATATCACCTTCAGCTTGCCTAGAAAGACCACCTTCAGCTGGCCTAGAAAGACCACCTTCAGCTGGCTTAGAAAGACCACCTTCAGCTGGCCTAGAAAGACCATCTTCAGCTGGTCTAGAAAGACAGCCTGCAGCTCGCCGCCCTTTATCTTGCCCATAAAGATCCCAATGAGTTCGTCGGACTCTCTTCTGCTCGGCTAGGAAACACTCTTCAGCTAGTCTAGAAAGATTCGTTTAGCTTGCCTAGAAGGTTCCCTGCAACTCGTCTATAAAGGCTCCCTCGCCTCACTTCGTTATAGACTCCCTTGAGCTTTTTTAAATCCATAATTTATATATATGATCCGAATTCATACCTGATTTTAATTCCATAATACACCAAATACGAAGAGATGATGACCATAATGAAATAAAATATGAAAAAACCACCCACAATGGGCATGGAAGATCTGATGTCTGTTTCAAACAGTGGTGAATAGAGTTGAGACGAATCTCCGCCCGAAAGCATGTATGCAATCTGAAATGAAATTTCATCAGTAAACCACAATTAAATGAAACCTAGACAGACATTCACGCAAAACTTACCATTGTAATGAAAACCACAGAAATGGCAGCCGTATAAGCTGCCACCGCATAACTGCCAGTCTTAACATTGTTCGACCATATAATTGGAGACCAGCAAGATTCTAGGACGGCCATTTTAATCTAAAACAAAAAGTTGTTTTAAATCAGAGAAGCAGCCAAAATGAATTTCAAGTTAAATAAAAGAAATTGTTTGTTAGAGGCCTGTCTACCGCCCATCTCATCTATCCATTAATTCCAATTTGATGTCGTCGTTTCTGCATGTTGTTGTTTTTGTTATTTCTCACAGTCACACAGGCACGCCCTGATCACCAACCATTTGATTTGTCAAGCCAAGTTTTCTTTTTCGTGCTTGAGTCACATCGTCGTTTTATTATAATTACCTTTTATTTCGTTTGTTTGTTGTGTTATTTTACGTTTTATTTATTTAAACTATTATTTCATTTAATTTTCTTAAATTTATTTTAATTTGTAATCGTGTTTTTAAATGCTATATTGCTTGAAATGTAAACAAATTAATTTGAAACTGTACAAAGCCTCTCTTCATGACTACTTTGTACTCTCTTATTGGGTTCTCATGGGGTTCTTCTTCTTCTTACTATCGTTGCAATGTTGCCACAGTGAAAGAATAGCAAAGAGATATCGATATTTTCAACCATTAAAACTATCGATAAATCGTATTAATAGGTCATTTATACGTAGGCAGAGTTTGTAAGTGGGAAAATTTGACATGGTATTAAGAGAGGAAAGGAATAAAAATAAATAAATTATCCTAGTTGATTTGGGGATAAAATAGAAAATTAAAACTATTGGCCAAAATAAATTGACTTCTTTTAATTACTATACATATATATTCATGTGTTAATGACATTTTTCTCAAATGTCAAGCAAAGAATTGGCAGCTTCAATTGAACGATTTTCAAAGTATATTATTGAACGGTCTGAGTGGCATTCATACCGACGCAGTCGCGGATGCTATCAGCAGTTACAGGATGAATGCCATCCACGGAGTCCACTCCAATCCATTGCAGCTGAAGAACGCCAGCTGCCTAGACAAACCAGGGTAGTTTTGGCGCAATTACGTTCAGGATGGTGTAGTCGTTTCATCTGCCCGGCGTGTGATAAGCTGGACCTCTTTAATTTCACAGCCAAACATACCTAACTCACTCCAGAAGATCTCTGGCTGCAGCCCGTTAAAGTAGCAGAATTTTTAAACCTGGAACTTAAACCAGATAAGCATAATGCAAACACTCACATGTACTACTGCTACAACAAAAACAACATCAGTTTGGTCTATAATTTGACCATACAAACGTTTGGTCTATAAAAACGAACAACGCTTGAAAAGCATGGCAAACTTGGTAGATGGACTATTTGAGAACATGATATATCCTTTGTGTAAACCTAAGTCGACAGTATCTAGATCCTAGTTTAAAGGTGACGGTACATAAGCAGCTTGGTATCGTGGCTAGGCATATTAATGCCAAATTATAAGGGGAAACGACGGCAGCATGTGAGGTTCTGGAATCCCTTTATGATATTCGCAAAATATCCCATGCGAAGACACGTTAACATTTTTCTCTCGTGAATAAAAAAAAAACATTTAAGTTGAGAGTACATACAACAGCTTTTTTGACTGGCTTAATTCATCGGTTGGCTTTTTCGTAGAGGAACAAAGGAGTTTTAGGTTGACTCAGTTTGATTTTGACCCTATGCTCCTTTGTTCTTTTCCGAAGAAGCCAGCCGAGGACTAAGCCAGTCAAATAAGCGATTTATTTATTCTCACCCTTATTTTTCGTGGTGAAGCATATAAAAGTTTTTCACTCTTCACAGACAGAGAGACAAAAAACCCTTAGAAGAAATCCCCACATGTAAGTCTGCACTAAAAGTCTATGATCTCAAAATCGATTACTTTCGTAATCGTCAACATGACGATTTTCACCACTACCATAAGTCGACGTCTACTTTTGCACCTTTCCAACACACCAAAGGTCGACTAATCGAAAGTCGATTGACGCATCCCTAGTAAAATATTGTTCGTGTTAATAGAAAGACGTCGTAATTTGTGAGAAGTGACAACTCGAAGGGAAAACTTAAATATCGTCTCCCCCCAGAAAAAAAGCAGACTGAATTTTATTGAAAAAAGAAACAATTGCAAAAAAAGAACGCTTGATCAAGGGAAAGAAATATCATTGAAATACAAAGCGAAAACGACGATTTGCATTGCATTTTTTTTATTACTCGCCCAATACGTTGAAAAAAGTGGAAAGTGTCTCTTATTCATCGTCGAGCAGCACAACAGTTTTTATTTTGTGAAGAAAAAAATGTCGACTCCCGCACGAAGACGTCTTATGAGAGATTTTAAAAGGTATGTAGAATTTGAAGTTTCGTCATCATCGTCACTGCGGAAATAAATGAAATGCGCTGTGCTATGTAAAGGATATAAAAAACATTTTGTAGAAATCTTTGAATTGTGTGAACAGAGAAAAAATCCATTTCAACAAATTACGTGTGATTTGGCTTTGGATTTTGTGGTGTAATTTCTTTACATTTATTTCGGTGTGTATTTGTGTGTGTGTGCCTTTTTGAGGGAGAGTGAGCGCCAACGGTATGATTAGTTGGGAGAGCACTTTGGGGTTTTTTTGTCTTGTTTGTTTGCCAGAATTCAGTGGTGTTTTGTTGTTGCTTGGCATTCATATAAGACTAACAGCTCTCTTGCTCTCAGAGTTTATTGTTTTTTTTTTGTTTCTCACCACTGTATTCATATTAACAAAAATCATCGGCGTCTTTATTTTTACACATTCTTTATTGTTCTTTTTGTATAAAAATACTTCCCGAATTTTCTATTTTTTTATTTTTGTGTTTATTTGTTAGCCTTTGTTTGCTAGTCTGCTGTTGTTGTTTTGCAAAATAAATTTGGTTACAATTATTTTTGCACACACACAACATCTCTCTCCCAGACTCCTACTAGTCTGATAGTTTTCTCGCGTTGACTCATTCCTGTTTTTCTTGTATCTATTTTTATTAGTTATTTTCCTTTATGTCGTATTTTTCCTCACTTCTGGTGGATAATTCATTTTCTTTTTTTTTTTTTTTTGGGCCCGCTTGTGTTTTGCTTATTTTTTTGCCGTTTTTTTAATAACGTTATTTTTGCAAGCAAGGATCATATTGAAGAAGTCACCGAAATGTCAAGGATGTACGAAGGTGTGTTTGTGTGAATTTGCTCGCTCTACCCCAAATGGCTGTTATTATGCCATAAACAAATATTGCCAGCCAACCGCGCCACAACCGCCGAAGGTCATTGAAATTGGATTAATTTTTTTTTTTTTGCTTCGAATGGTTTATGTTTACACTTTGCCATTGCTGCCTGCCTGCATAGCCTCTGAGATATTCGTGATAACAGAACATAATAAAACAAATTGGGGCTTAACTCTAGTTTAGTAAAAACTCTTCAATTTTTTCGAAAATTTTTTCAGTGGTAGGTATTTTAACCATGATCCCGGGAAACTATTTTTTTCTTGGGGGACGGACCTGGGACCCCAGATTTTTGACCCGAAAGTCCGGGTTCAAGACCCCGACTAGACCCGGATCCACTTACCCGATATAGACAATATGGGTATCGTTGGAAAGCTTATGAAAATACCTATCCAACAAGTGGTCACATGATGGGGTAATGGGTTACGGTTCGGAAGTTATAGTCAAATTATCGATTTTTTGGACCCGGATTTTTTATAAAACCCCCAAAAAGTCAAAAAAGGGTCCATTATGGGGGACAACAAAATTGATGCCAAATTATAGCTGACACTTTTACCTTTCCAAAATGCTACAATTTGTGCTAATACCTTCACTGAGTCCAGAGATATGGGTCTTTCCATCCGCATAACCCGATTCTAACCAGTTCATTAAAACTATGTTTTCAATAAAAAATGGTATATTTTGCGTAAGAATGAAATTCAGAAATCTTTGGTACGCGTTAGCCGGTGTAGGACATACCCAGAGGAGAAAATCTCAAGCCCCGGCCGAAGGCCGGCTACTTACAAAAAGTATCCGATTCAGAAATCTTTGGTCCGCGTTAGCCGGTGTGGGACATACCCAGAGGAGAAAATCTCAAGCCCCGGCCGAAGGCCGGCTACTTACAAAAAGTATCCGATTTAGAAAACTTTGGTTCGCGTTAGCCGGTGTGGGACATACCCAGAGGAGAAAATCTCAAGCCCCGGCCGAAGGCCGGCTACTTACAGTATCCAAAGTATCCGATTTAGAAAACTTTGGTTCGCGTTAGCCGGTGTGGGACATACCCAGAGGAGAAAATCTCAAGCCGCGGCCGAAGGCCGGCTATTTACAAAAAGTGTCAAATTTAGAAAACTTTGGTTCGCGTTAGCCGGTGTGGGACATACCCAGAGGAGAAAATCTCAAGCCCCGGCCGAAGGCCGGCTATATACAAAAAGTGTCAAATTTAGAAAACTTTGGTTCGCGTTAGCCGGTGTAGGACATACCTAGAGGAGAAAATCTCAAGCCCCGGCCGAAGGCCGGCTATTTACAAAAAGTGCCGAAATTATGAACCTTTTGTTCGCGTTAGCCGGTGTCGGACATACCCATAGGTGAAAATCTCAAGCCCCGGCCGAAGGCCGGCTATTTACAAAAAGAGCCAAATTTAGAAAACTTTTGTTATTCCGACGACTGCTACGCGAAATAAACACTTTTTTATTAAAAACATCATTTTAATGAACTGGTTAGAATCGGGTTATGCGGATGGAAAGACCTATATCTCAGGACCCGAAAAAGGTATTAGCACAAATTGTAGCATTTTTGAAAGGTAAGAGTGTCAGCTATAATTTGGAAACAATTTTGTTGACCCCCATAATGGGCCCTTTTTTGACTTTTTGGGGGTTTCATAAAAAATCCGGGTCCAAAAAATCGATAATTTGACTATAACTTCCGAACCATGACAACTTACCCCTTGTTGGATAGGTATTTTCATAAGCTTTCCAACGATACCCATATTGTCTACATCGGGTAAGTGGATCCGGGTCCAGGTGGGGTCTTGATCCCGGACTTTCGGGTCAAAAATCTGGGGTCCCGGGTCCGTCCCCCAAGAAAAAAATAGTTTACCGGGATCAGGGTAAAAATACATACCTCTGGAAAAAATTTCGGAAAAATCTAAGAGTTTTTACTAAACTAGAGTTGTTCCCAAATTGGGAGAAAGAAATTAAAAATTATTGAAGAAAAAGCAATATTGATAGATGAGCTAAAAAAAGAAATGCCTACCAACAATAACAACCGGCGAAATTGTACCTAATTGGAAAATATTGGAAAGTTTTTTCGACGTAAATTAGAAGACTACAGAATATTTAGAGGACCTATGGAAAATGCCAGATCTATAGTCCATATCAGACCTATCTTGCATTGAATATAAAAGATCCATAGAAATCCTGAGGAAGACAAAGAAACGATATTCACTACAACGAGTTATTGAATGATGTCCCTACGGATCTTCCACTCCTTATTTCCAAATACCACTGGGCTTCAACATATTAAACTTGTCCGTAAGGTAGTACTGTGAATCGTGATAAACGTTCTGGTTGATTCCTGGATTAATATGTGTCGGCAACTGGACAGCTTCCTCTGATCATGGGGGAGTGTAGAGCCTCAAGAGTATTCGCTACTGGCAGCAAAGGATAAGTCTGCTTGTAAGATTGATTTTTTTTTTGTTGTAGCAGTACATGTGGATGCTTGTTTTTCGCTTCTGGTTTAAGCTCCAGGTTTAAAAATTCAGCTACTTGAAGGGGCTGTAGCCAGAGATCTTCTGGAATGAGTTTGGCTGTGCCATTAAAGAGGTACAGCGTATCGTACGAGCTTGTATCACACGCCTTCGTCAATTCGTGCCCAATACGAATTGAGACGACTGCACTATCCTGAACGTAATTGCGCCAAAACTACCCTGGTTTGTCTAGGACGGCATTCATCCTGTAAATGCTGATAGCATCAGCGACTGCATCGGCATGAATGCCACACAAACCTGCCAGAAAGGCTTCTTGATCTAGAGGTTCTCTCTTATTGCGTTGGACCTCTCTAGATCGGGTATGTCCTTCCTGACAAGCCTGGATGGGGAAGTTGTATCGACCATATGAAAGCATATGATTATGCTGACGTAAGGGAAGTACTTTCGCCTCCTCATGTAAATGGTCCACTAGTGTCATGAGGAGGCACCCTATCGCAGTTCTCAGGGCAGAATTCTGGCAGGTCTGGATGTTCCTTCACTGCGTAGCACTAGTATTCACAAACCACACTGGAGCCGCATAGCTAACCACAGACCGACCTATCTCGTTATAAGAGATAAACAAGGTTTTCCTGTCCGAAACCCAATTGCTGCCGGCTAGCGCATTGAGGACCTTGTTCCTACTTCTCATATTGTCCCAGATATGCTGTCGAATGTGTGACCTCCAGAATTTTGGGGTAGCTCTTGGTCGGTACTAAATTTCCCTCGACCTGCACCTGGTTCCTTTTCCAGGCTTCGGGAAATAACTTGGGTGGATAGCGACAGGTTGAGAACTTTCATCAGGTATTCGACTCCCAGTGTATCTAGTTGTTTCGGCCAGTTCTTTAGCCGCATAGCTGACCACAGACCGACCTATCTCGTTATAAGAGATAAACAAGGATTCCCTGTCCGCAACCCAATTGCTGCCGGCTAGCGCATTGAGGACCTTGTTCCTACTTCTCATATTGTCGCAGATATGCTGTCGAATGTGTGACCTCTAGAATTGGGGTAGCTCTTGGTCGGTATTAAATATCCCTCGACCTGCACCTGGCCCACTTTTTGGGCTTCGGGAACTATGTGGGTGGATAGCGACAGGTTGAGAGCTTTCATCAGGTACTCGACTCCCGGCGTATCCAGTTGTTTCGGCATTACCATTGAAATTCAGACTGGATTCTGGACCATTGAGATTCTGATTTTTGTGGGTACTCTAGACTGGCTTCAATAGTGGCACTAAACCGCCCATTTCCCATGTTTCCTGAACTAATAGGGTGGCAAATGATATTCTGGTGGTCCTAAAGTTTATGGTATCAATTCACTGATCAGATGAAGTTACGTATCCTAAGCAAATGAGGATAAACCGGAAATTTTTCGAGTGAAAAAGTGGTGATTCAAATTTAAGCAATCTCTATTTGTGAGCAAGAAGACATATCCAGCAGATATCATGAAGATATGAACAGGAAAGTCTGGTATCTTTAAATGTTCGCTCTTGAGAATTTCTAAGAACTCACTTGTGGTCTTCCAAAAAGACTTGCTTCCGACCGTCCCCAGGGTCTGGCTCGCGTCTTATATACACTAATTTAAACTCATTGCTCTGACTATGCGATGTATTGCTC